GTGTGTGCGTGGTTTTGTTTTGTTTTTTTCTTTTCTTTTCTTTTCTTTTCTTTCAGGACAAGTCTTTGTTGTAAGAATCTACGCAGTTTTGAAAAAGACCAAATTGAGTGTCATTATTGTTCAGAAAATCTCAATATTACATCTGTTACTTCTCTAAATCCTTCAGAGTCTAATAGTGAGAATGCTGAGATCCTGCAGTGAAGGCTTAGTTCAGATAGTGAGGTGTCACGATAAGTATATTTTCAATGTTATTACTGATGCTTATAGAATATTTTTACTGTTATGTTGTTCTTATTGTACCTAAAATGTCTTATCGCATACATCGTATAGCAAATGTCTTACAGCATATCGTCCATTGAAGTGCAGTGCTGGCATTCTGTGCAATAGGATTCTCCCCAGGCAAGGACCTAGTAACAGTTTTCGGCCTAGTTCTCACATTGGGTCAGTCATACACGACTGTTCTGTATCACACTGACCACTCCATTGTTTGTTTGCACTAGTGTTCTCTTCCTCCTGCGGATCAAGGTCTTCACCCTCACTTCTCTGTCCAATGTTTCGCACTCCATCTCACTGTTTTAGCTTCTCTGGCTTCCACAGTCGAGTCATCATTGTTAGCCCAGTCACTCAGTGACTCCCTTTCAACCTCTTCCCCAAAATTTAAATGCAGATTTTCATATGACATTATACTGAGTTGGGCTAGTTCTACCAAAACAATCAAAAGAATACATTTAATAAACCACATTATTAAAATAAAAATTAATGTGGCACGTCATGTGTTAAAACTGACCTTTTTACACTTTGACGCACATGCACACACTTTGCTGTTGCTGCGGCCAGCACATAGGATGCCTCTTGCATGCCTGCAGCACGGCTGTTCAGATGCACAGCTGGGTACCTTTATGCTTAAGTGCATGTTTTCAGCAGAAAAGTATGATGTGGTGACAGTGACCCACTATGAGGAGGCAAGCTGCAGAAAAGAAAGTGCTTTCCCATCTTTTTTTGTACCCCAGACTCCTTCAGCTCTGCCTTTCAGAGTGGTGGCTTCATTCTTTTCTTTGTCCTTGGGCTCTACCTCTGTTGGGTACTAGTGTAACCAGATACTTAGGGTTCTACTTTCTGTAAGAACCCGTTTCTAGGGCCTTGACTCCTACATTTGCTTTCTCTTATTGAACATTTTCCACAAGACACCAGGGCCGTAACCAGTGGCTTGGTGCCCTGTTTCGAGTGTGAGATGTATGTTTTGGAGGCAGGCTAAATTCCAACTCCATTAAGTTCTGGAATTTAGATCAGTGTTATTTAATTTATTTAAATTTAAACAACCACATGTAGCTAGTGGCTGCTGTGTTGGAGGGGCAGGAGTGAGTATAGCTCTCCTTACATCCTTCACTGAACAACAGTGCCCTTTTATTTGTGAAACTTCTATCTTGTCTTCTGGTGTGTGGTCTTCGATGGGTCCCATGTAGAAAGGTGAGGAAGAAAGAAATACCAGTTTGGTCAGCCAGGGTGGCTTATTGGGGTGGCAGTAGTCGTAGCTGTGTTTCCATTGTCCTCTGTACTCAGCGATTATTAGGCTTTTTCCCTACTTGATTTTTTTTTTTTTTGCGGAACTGGGGACTGAACTCAGACCCTTGCGCTTGCCAGGGAAGAGCTTGTTCCATTGAGCCTTCTCCCCTACTTGGCATATTTCCTCCTGTTATGGACTTCCATTTAATTGAAGACATTATAGCAACCAGACTTGAAGGTAAGATTTAGTAAGTGCAATAGAGGCACAGAGTGCTAAAAAAGTTAATTCTGCCTGAATTCCTGAAACTCTTCTGTTGCAGATTCAACCAGTTTTTTGGTTTTGTTTCATTTCCTATCCACGTTTCTATGGGTTTTCAAGCATTTTGAAATAAATATACAAATGTGATTTTAATATTACTTAGTAAATTCCATAGTGTTTCAGTTAAGATTTTTATTTTGCTGTTTTTGAAAATGGGAGGTATCCCATACACACTTTGAAAATATTTTAGACACTCAGTGCTTTTGAAATTCCCTTCAGAGTTTGTGTAAATTTTTTTGGAAATTTATGGGTAATTTCAATCATATACAAAAGCAGAGATAAGAACATAATAAATTTCCAGGTACCTAACACCCAACTTCATTGTCAGTTCAGTATCAGTATTCAGCTATAGCCAGTCTCCTTTTCTTTGCCTATCGGGACTTGTTGATCTCTCAGTGGTCCCCAGGAAAAAACAGTGAAAGGATTTGGAAAGTAAAGACAAAAGATAATAGCTGAGGTCAGGTGGAGGCCCGTTTGCCTGATGGGCAGAGGACCTGAACAACAACAGTAGGGCTGTTTATACCTTTACAAAAAGTTAGTATCATTTCTTTCTTACTTTTTTTTTTTATCTTAGGGAAGAGTCTACAGGGTGTTCAGGGTCTCACTACTAGATCAGACTTGTAGTGATCCACCTGTTTACAACCTCCCAAGTGCTGGGATTATAGGCATGTGCCACCGTACCCAGTCTCAGTTGCTGTCTCAGTGTGCCCCAGGGGCCAGCACGGCATGCCCGGGGATTGAAACCCCGGCCCCTGCGCCTGCTTTTCATGTGCTGAACTATTTGACTGGCCTTCATAATTTCAGTGATTTAATATTCTTTCATTATTTTGTTTCTGTTAGCCTTTTTTTTTTTTTCTTTTTTAGACTAAATCTCATGATATAGTTCAAATTACACTTGAACTCAGAATTTGGCCCAAGGTGGCCTTGAAGTCTGGTGATCCTCATGCCTGTGCCTCCCAAGTCTTGGGATTATGGATGTGTTCTACCTTGCTTGGCTGTATTAGTAGTTTTCAAATGTGAGCCATCATCCGAATAGTGCCTTTCTAATTGTATGATTCAGAATTTTTGATTCTCATTTCCAGCCACCCACTGTAGTAGAATAACTATGCTTGTGGTGGAACAAAAAAATCTTAAGCTGAGGCATGGCATTGCATGCTTGTAATCCCAATATGTGGAAGCCTGAGGAGGAGCCAAGCTCAGGGCCAACCTGCACAGCATAGCAAGATAGGGACAGACAGAACTACATAGTGAAATCCTGTTACTTTCAAAAAAGAAAAAAAAAGGATGGAGGAGAGAAGAAAAATCTTAAATCTTTGAGAATCCCTTGTCTATTTCCAGGTACGTGAAGCTGGAACTTCTCATATACATCTCAACTCTGTTATAGATATTATGTGTAATTTAAAGAAGTCGCTTAGTCTTCTCACACTTAACGATGCAAGGGTTTTTATTTGCTGATAGTTTGTGCATGTATGTATTTATGCAGCACTGCAGCAGCCCGCCTCGTGTACAGGGAATGTATTCCAAGATGCCCAGTGGATGCCTGACGCTGCAGCTGGTGATGAACCCTAGACAGTCCATGTATTTTTTTTCTATAAATACATACCTATGATCCGGTTTAATTTATAAGTTAGTCATAGTAGGATATTAACAACTAATAAGATACAATAATAATACAAAATAATGTATATGATAATATAAGAAAATTGTCAAGCTCCTAAAGTTGTGAGCAGGTAGCATATCCCATGTGGATACACTGGGCAAAGGATGGTTCTGGTCCTACCTGGGCAGAGGGAATAGGGCGGCACAAGCTTTCATCACAACTGCTTAGAACAGTGTGCAATCAAAAACTTATGGATTATGTGTTTAATGCTGGAATATTACATACAATTTGTTTTGACTACCATTCCAGTGGAACTGTAGATAAAGAGGACTAGTGTATATAATTCTGTTCTATCATTCTGCTTTACGTGGACTCCATGGTCAAATGCTTCTGGAATTATTGCTACTTCCACAGCAGAGTTTTGTGTAGATACATCCTGGAAAGTTTAGCCCCACTTGCATGTTGTCTCAATTTAATAATATGTTCTTTAGACAGATTACGCCCATGTTTAATTGTAGTAGATAAGGTTTATTGTATGTGTACAGGGTACTAGATTAAACATATCTAAGCTGCATATGTAAAAGAGTAGACTGACTTGTATGTACCGTTTTTGGGAATCTATGAGCACATACAGTTTTCCTTCAGACTACTGTAGCAACCAGTTGAGAATTATTTGTTTTAGTTATTATAGTCAAGTGATTTGTATTTCTTCACTAATATGCTTCAGCTTATATGGAGTTGTCCGCCTTTCATTATGTGTTCATTTGTAGCTGTAAGAACATCATCTTAACAGTGATTATTGGAGCTTCTCATATACGTCTCAACTGTTACAGGTATTATGTATAATTTAGAGAAGTCACTTAGTCTTCTCACACTTACGATACAAGGGCTTTTATTTGCTGATAGTTTGTGCATGTATGTATTTACGCAGCACTGCAGCAGCCCGCCTCGTGTACAGGGAATGTATTCCAAGGTGCCCTGTAATAATGCATACCTTATCTACTAAAACTAAACTTGGGTGTAATCTGTCTAAAGAACGTATTATTAAATTGAGACAACATGCAAGTGGGGCTAAACTTTCCAGGATGTATCTACACAAAACTCTGCTGTGGAAGTAGCAGTAATTTCAGAAGTATTTGACCATGGAGTCCATGTAGAACATTTATCACTGTGATGGCAAAAACCATACCAATATACAAAAATGGTTCTTGCACTTCGTAGGGACTCTTATCACTTGTGGTCATATGGTAATAATAGCAAACCTTTCAATGTTTGAGACTGTTTTTCCTGCCTAGAGCTGTGTTTTCTGAACTTTCTGCCCTGTCACCTTCTAGCTATACTTCAGCAAATTGGAACCATGTTGTTTGAGAGCATAAATGCCTCTTGCTTCTATTTTCTCCACAAAAATAATGTTGTGTGCATACAGAAGGAATTAGGTGTACAAAGCAGGCTTAGGCTGAGTGTGCAGGAGTGATCGCAGCACTGTGACTTCCGAGGTGAGTCACTGACGAGAACACACCATGTGTCCAGTCCTGCGAACGTTTTTGCTGACAGTAGTTTCTTGAACTTGTATTGCAGCTGTGGAAAATGGGCAGATAGATGTGGTAAGGCTGTTGCTTCAACACGGAGCGAATGTTAATGGATCCCATTCTATGTGTGGTTGGAACTCCTTGCACCAGGCTTCTTTCCAGGTAATCTCTGAATTTATTATTTCATTTCCATGTAAATTATGTGTTTTACCCTTTAAAAATGACAGTTCTGTACAGTTTTGGCTTCCTACTTGCTGTGATTTATGATGGTTAGCGTAGTGCAGAAGAGGCAGTCTAAATGCTAATGATCGTTCTGAGTAAGCTGACTGCTGTAGTAGCTGCGGGCAGCTTTGGGCTAGAGGGATTGCCTAAGTTTTTCAAATGTTGATAGCATAGTTAAATGATTAAAATATGTGGGATATAAATTGATAAGTATAAAACCACTTGTAACAGTAATGTTTAGGGCTGTGATATGTCCTTCATGTTTGGATTAGTACATTACTTTGGCAGGATTTTTAAAGGATTATAATTCCTAAAGAGCACTTTTTAATCTGTTGATGTTTACTTGGGTAGTTAGAATGATCTTCTTGTTTATTTCCTTCTCAACCAGCACAACAATACACTGTTAATTTTTTTCTTCATGTTAGCTTGTATTGAGAGGATAAGAAAAAAGGCTGAAAGATGCTTCAGTTGTTTTCCCTTATTTAAAATATGAATCTGTGCTTCAGGAAAACGTTGAGGTCATGAAATTACTTCTTAAAAGAGGAGCCAATAAGGAGTGCCCGGATGACTTTGGAATCACACCTCTGTTTCTGGCTGCTCAGTACGGCAAGCTGGAGAGCTTGAACACCCTTATTTCCTCAGGTAGGATTAAGCCACGAGCCTGTGCAGTGTAAGGTCATGCTATTTTATCTTCCTAGAAAAGGATAGTCTCACTCAAATACAAATTGTATTATAAAACTTAGGGTGTTATGCAGATGGTAAATAGAGTGTATATGTGTTGGTTTCGAAGCTGTGCTGCTACGTGTCCATTCCTAGCAATGCGGTATGCAGCTGCTAATGTATCTGAGTAGAAACGTAATCTGTGTGTAACTGGAGCAGGGTTATTGGCCAGGTTGAATGATGGGACTGTCTTGCTCTGAGAACCTGAGTGGTTCTAACTTTCTAAGGTACAATACTAGTTCAGGCTTAACTAATTTATTAATGGCAATTTGTACCTCAATCCTTTGTGCTTTGATGATTGTGTAATTTTTTAAATGGGCTTATTTCAAAGCATATTTATGCTTTATTATGTTGATAGCAAAATAAACCAACTAAACGGTTTTTTTTTTTTTTTGTAACAACTGTTACACATTCAAAGTTGCTGGAGAAGTTGCCATTTTTACCTTATTGCAGAGGCAGTAAGTGTATACCCTCACAAGCGACGTGACATGTATGTTCTCATATGCTGTCCTCATGACACACACGGATACCATGGTGGGTGATTACCAGAGTTGCTGCCAGACAAGTTTTTTCAGTATCTAACTTTAAAAAATTATTTCCAAATAGCCAGGTGTCGTAGTGCACACCTATAATCCCAGCACTCCGGAGGCAGAGGCGGGAGGATTCCTCTGAGTTCAAGACCATTCTGGGCTAGATAGTGAGTTCGAGACCAGTGTGAACTACATGATGAAGACCCTATCTCCAAAGAATACCACTGCTGCCGCCACCAAAATCCTCCAAATAGAAGAAAGCCAAAGCTTATTTAGACATGAGAAAACATACTTTCTTATTCCGCTACAAGTCTTCATAGCTGATCTACATCAAAGTACAGAGTAAAAGAAACATTTATTAAGTACCTTCTTAAGGTGTCTGGTGTAAATAATGATGTATAAATTTTAGAGTTGAGAGGAATCTCCACAGTCAATAGTTTGAACGTATTTTTTAGATTAAGAATCTCACTTTTAGTGCTTTGGCATAGAAAATATTTCCTAGCAGAATGAGTAGTTATACTCAGGCCTTCTGACTTCCGATGTTCCTTCTGTTATATCACACAGGTGGAAAAGCTAAAAAATAACAGACATTTCACTGAAGAAAAAAAAGAATTGAATTAGAGTAGTTCATTTCAGTAGCATAAGAGTTGGGTTATTAATGTCTAATATTTTAATAAAATAAGCTAAGCTGCATGTTAACAGCTCTTGTTCCAAATCTGTGTCTTTGTCACTTGGAGGTCTAAGTATCTGTTCTGTGTTCTTTTCCTCCTCTCTTCGCTGAATTATTAGAATATTGGAGGGAGAAGGTCTGAAGTTGTTTATAGTTAACTCTGTTTCCAGCTCCGTCTAGTGACTTCCAGTGAAAGGTCTATTCTTAACTTTTCCACCTAGAATCTTACAGGGATTAGTTCCTTGATCTTCCTAATACTTTCCAAGTTGTCACTAAAATGGAATATTGATTTTACAAAAAAGTTTTGAAGAAAAAACTTCTGAATTCAACAGCAGGTAAAAGACCTACTCAATATGTCAAGAAGATTCTAATTGACATTTTTTGGAATTTCTGAAGGTTGCATAGACTCTTTTAGTGGGGAAAAGCTGTTTTACCATGGAAATGTTTTATGATTAACCTCTTTTTGAAAATTAATCTTTTTTAAAAAGCATAAATGAAAACTGTTAAATGTTTCCTTTTGTTAGGTGCAAATGTCAATTGCCAGGCCTTGGATAAGGCTACCCCCTTGTTCATTGCTTCTCAAGAGGGTCATACGAAATGTGTGGAGCTTTTGCTGTCGAGTGGGGCAGACCCTGACCTCTGCTGTAATGAGGACGGCTGGCAGTTACCTATTCATGCAGCTGCCCAAATGGGCCACACGAAGTAAGTGTCAACACACAAAAATGGTCTCGGAACGAAGAGCCAATAGTGAATGAGCCTGCGCCAGGCCCTTTACCTCCAGGTAGGATCTTCAGTACTTGCCCATCACCAGGCTGTGGCGTGACTAGACCCGTGTCCCGTTCGCCCAGTGCTGCCTATTGTTGGCTGTAACCCTACTGTGCACTTTGCTGGGTGAGGCACTGGCTGGAGGCCGAAGCTAGGGCCTTCCTCTGCAGGCATCCCCCTCTGGTTTCTTTGGGATCGCCTTAAAGCTCATCCCTGCCCCATTTCACCCTAGGCATCTTCAGCTGCCAGGCTGAGGGCTGGTTGGCCACTGCCTCCCTGACACAGGTTGCTGTGTGTAGCCTCACTGGAGTGTAATTTTCTTCTGTTTGTACCGAACAGTCCTCCCCATCCTTAACCCTGTTACCGGCAAGGCTTGTGTAGTTCCAAATCCAATCTGGTGGTTTCTCCTGCTTCTGCTACTTCTCTTTCTTTGTCAGAAGTTCCTGAAAAATTCTTGGTGTTTTCTGGTGACAGAACAAATGGGAGAGCAGCTATAGGAATCTTTGGAGCTGACAAACTGGTTATGCCTATGAGACTATGACTCCTGTTGCACAGTAGCACTGAAAAGTTTAAAGAAATGTCTGCTATCTTTAGAGTTGTAACTCTGTGCTGTCATACTTTTTGTAGGCATTGTTAGCATTATTTAATTAAAAAAATAAGAATAGCCATTATTATTATTTTTTTTTTCCTGTATTTTAGGGAAGGGTATACAGGGTGTTGAGGGTGTCACTACTAGATCAGACTCATAGTGATTCTCGTGTTTACAGCCTCACAAGTGCTGGAATTACAGGCATGCGCCACTCCTCCCAGTCTCTTTTGCTGTCGCAATGCGCCCCAGGGATGGGGCTTTAATCTGCTGAACTGTTTGGCCTGCGCTACCTGGTCATTATTTAATGTGCTTATATAGTAGGAAAACAGATTCTACAATTTGGTTATT